AAATACAAAAATTCAATATGAAAACCTTAACTACCACCTCTTCACGGTTGAAGCAATTATTTACGCGAATTATGAAGAATAGTAGTTGATGATGCTTTCAATAATTTTATTCTAACAGTAATTTACGTAGTACACATTTCAATTGTATTGTCCATTCGATGTTTTATAGATATCAGGGTCAAAACTACTTTTTTCAATTGTTTATTGTGTTGATTATAGACATGATATGTTCTAATAACTAAGTAATCAGGTAATACAGAAACACCCTGCAATAGACATAATATAATGTCAACAGTAATAAGATTTGGGTTTTTAATGTTTATTGTGTTCAAAATAATGCAAATAAACCACTTATTAATATAGATATACATAAATAAAAAGGTTTATTGTAAAGAAATGAGTTAAGTATAAGTTTATTAAAGTTTACAACGTTTTGATTTAAAGATTAATTATTTAAATAACTATATGATGTATGATATGGATGTAATACAAAGGATTAAATAAAATAATACTGAGATTCCCAATTATTTCCAAATTCAACATTAGAAATAGTAAAGTCTATGTGAAGCACTTTGTCCAAAACGTTTAGTTCTTATTTAATTTGTTTTTTTTTTTTAATAAAAATTAATTCTGATGGACTATTTATCAATCACTCTTTCGTTAATCTATAACACTAGTAAATATTATATATTTATATACAAATACACTAGAAAATTGTAGATAACAGAATCAATTAGCTATCACTTTTCTTATTATTCATATTTTCGTCGTTATTATTATTGTTGGCAGTACTGGTGGTATCGTTACTTTTATGGTTTGAAACCAAAGAAGTTGAAGACTCGTCTCTATCATGTAAATAGCTTGTTCGTCTTCTGTATCCTTCATCATCCTGTTGCCACCTCCTAATGAAATTTGAAAAATATAATTTAATATTTATTCGATGTATCTCTTCATCGGCATTACATGAGTTAGTGTGTTTCTGCTTTTAAACTAATAAAAAATTGCAATCTACAGGGTGTCACCCAAATAGTGATATCCTTTGGACAGAGGGTGATACAATAAAAAGATTATTTCAGTATCAAAAACTTATTGGTTCTAATTTTATCTCAAATCAAATAATCAATTTAAAAGTAATGTTGTATTTGATTTGTAATTGATAATAACTAATAGAACCTAAAGACTGATGCTTTAATTTATGAGTTCAATGACTTGAAAAAATTGGATAACTGGGTTTAAGATATCAATAAAACAATTGAAAAAACAAAAAGAATCTAGCCAAAACTTCAACTTCATCAATCAACTCTCGTACTTCTATGTGGAAGGTCACAATGGTACGGTTATACCAACTTTTGAACTTTGAACTTTAACGTCTCATTATTTTTACTTTTAATTAATTATGAAAAATTATAAAAAAGAGGAGTATTTTTCGATTAATTTTGTATCATTTGATGTGAGATATGATGAGAAACCAATAAATTATTTGACTTTGAAGTGAACCATTCTTGATCTACTAATTTACCATCTGTAAATTTTATAAGGGTCAATACTTAGACATGGGGCATGTTCAATAAGTGTTGCCAAAGTTGAGCAATGATAAAAAAATATCTTGCACGTTTTAGAATAAACTGGAATTTGACTCTGCTGAAGTTTTTGAAGACAAAAATTTTTAATTGGATTATTTGCGAAATCCGTAAATCCAATTGTTCGCTTTTGCTCTTATGTTAGAAAACAATAAAAACAATGTCATCAACCTGTACAAGCACACCGGAAACTGAAAGTTAAAAGTGAAATTCTAAAATCTGGAAATCTATTTCTGAAAGGTCATTACACCTGAAAATTATGTGTAAATTGTGACGACGAATGACTTTTTTGGCACTAATATGTTCAACCAATTCATTTATTTAAAATCTTTTGTAAGCAATTCATATTGCAACAATAGCCAACACCTGATTTTATTATTGCGAAGTAATTAATAGTAAATTTACATAATGATCGGTTTAAAAATTTGCCGTAAAGGATAAATTTGTTAAGGTCAAGGATGATGATGTCGCATTCACAACAGATTGCACATGAAAACACACAAAATACTAAAACAATTACAATTGTACGCATGAGAATTTTTAACATATTAGGTAGATACAAAAAACAAAACGTTCATTTTAACGCTTTTCCTGCTTCATCACCTTGAAAGAACGAAACGTCAACATTAGAATGAATCGAATTCCACATTTAAAAATTACTTAATATCCATTCAGGTTATAAATCAACAACATAATATATTTATAACAAAGTAAAAGATTAATTATATTTAGAAGTTAATGCCTTTGTGGTACGAACAAAATGATTCTTGAATTAAATCGATTGTCCGATCAATTCTGCGATTTGTCTGAACTAAATTACTTATGAACCTCGTTCTTATTGCTCGTTTTAAGAAGTAAGTACATAATCTAAACCTTCCACACAGAAATAACGAAAAAACCTAATGATTTGCGTTTTGCTTCATGTATTACAGTTTCCAAAATAATGTAAATAAGATAATGGCTCTCGGAGTCCGAATAGACTTGATGCATGTCACTACAGAATAGAAGTGAAGTAGCACGTGACCGAACGTATCCGGTTGCCACCGGAAACGACTACGTAAATTATGAAAAATATCTACTTTTTTTTTAATATTCGCGGCATAGGTACGCTGTTCAACGGTAACGTTTTATGTCTAATTGAAAACAACAATTATTAAGTACGAAACCCTTGTGGACATCAGGGTCAAAAACATTTTTTATAATGATTTTATAATTAGGCAGATGGTTTATCATAACGGTTTTTGTTCAATTTGAACAGGCGCATAAAAAAAATGATTAATCTATTATGATATGGACATTGGAGATTATTTACAGCTATAATAATGATAATACATCTGACATCGCTTAGATGCACCTAATAACTTTCTCTAACACAATAAGTGAAATATCCGGAAGTAACCGTTTCAAATTGATTACCGGTTTTCCAATATATTCGTCAAATTTAACCTCGATGGTTTTAGTTGAATACCTTCACATACCTTCCCCCGTTTCCACCTCCACCTGACCCGTAAGGCCACCTTCCAGCATATCCAGAATCGTACTCAGGTTTTCCAGTAGCAAAATAGTATCCTCTGCCTCGATTGTCCCACCCGGAGCTTCCCCTAGTTGTGTCGTCCCAAGGTCTGAATCCGCCCCTGTCGTAATCACCCCCACCGCCTCCCCTGCTATCATAATCGTCATATTCTCTACCTCCTCCATATCGTTTGTAGCCATCACCATCGTCTCCTCCATAGTTCCTGTATCCACTCCTGTTGCTGTCATAGTTTCTGCCTTGGTCGTAATCGGCATAACCATAACCACCCCTGTCGTGACCGGCACGATCGTAGCCACCCTTGTAATAGTTGCCACGATCGTACTCTTGTCCACCCCGGTCATAACCGTGGTCATATGGGTCTCTATTTCGGTCGTAAGAGGCTCGATCTTGACCGTAATAGCTGTTATCACTTCCCCGAGGGTAATCGTCCCTGTCGTAACCTCCGCCTCTACCACTCGGTGGATACCCGCCACTGTCGTAGCCTCCCCTGTATCCTCCACGATCGTACCCACCACCATCCCCGTAATAACCATCCCTATCGTACGAATCGTCGTATCTGAAAATTGATTGAGAAATTGTTAGATTTTGACAACCAATTGTGTAGATCTTGATGTTCCCGACGTTCTTCTTTGGGGAGGGTCACATGAATTACTATTTGAAGATTTAGGGGAACACAAAACCACTAAACATACAAGATGTTTTATAGAATATCACTTTATCAAATCCGTTCATAGATTCATGCGATATATTTTTATTTTTTGAATAAAAATACATAAGTAGATAATAGCAAAGATTAGCAAATTTAGTACCAGAATATGTCTGAATTGTTTTTGACTTTTCGGTCAGCAAAATTGAATATGATATTATATCCCTGGGACTCAAGCATTCTCCTTGCTGTGTTATGGATTACTACTCAAAAGGTATCACCTGGAATAGATGCCAGAATGTACCTCCTGAATGAAAAACAATAAAAGCAGAGTAATGGCTATCGAAACCTAATTCCTAAAACAAGAACATTGTGTTCATTGTCAGTAAATAATTTAACGTGATTTCGAACTTGTTACTTCTCATCAGGACGCCATATAGCAAAGCATTCCGTATAAGTTGCTGTTGTTTGTTTATGCGAGTGATAAGTGTAACAAAACGTACCTGTCGTAGTAGTCAGGCCGTCGGTTATTGTCCCGCCTTCTGTCGTAATAGTCCCTGTCGTATCTCTTGTCAAAGCCCTCAGACCCATAGTCCCTTCCGTAGTGGTCGTAACCCCCTCCACCTCCGTATCTTTCCCTGGAATCTCTGAATGACGGTGGAGGGTTGTAGTAGACGCATTTTATGCATCGTTTTTCCAAATTGCTTTGACCGTTGTCGTATCTCGTTTCGGCCGAGTTTTCCGGTTTGATGTTTCCCGCGCCGGACGAATCGACGCTGTATCGGTTCCCTCTGCGTCCGCCGTTGGAACGGCCAGATCTTGCGGACACCAAAGCGCTGTCGTTGAACGATTGCTTTATGGTCGCTGAATCCGATATGACGAATAGATAAAAGAATACCAGGGGCGTTGTTGCTCTTATAATGAACGTCTGAAAATTAAATCAGAGGAAGTTCGCCATGAATATTTATGTTTATCGGGACAATGGCGTTATGTTCTTTCTGTTGTTTCTATTTTTTGTTTTCTTTCATCAAGACAGGCAGAACAAGTACTCGTTATAGGCATTGTTTAGCGACCAGCTTTGGATACCTGTTGTTGTTATTATTATTACCTAGTTGATGCTTTACAACTTTGTTCTTGTTAGGCTTTTTTGTCTGCTTTGAATGGAGCGTAATTATAATGGTACATGTCAGATGTAATAGTACTCGAGTTGATGAATTTTAAATGATTTTTTATCTCAGAAGGATGTCAACTTCATGAGATAATAGAGTGAAAATGTTTAAAAATTTTGAAGTTTCAATAAATAAAATTTTAGGTATTGTGACTCGCGTTCATGTCCTAAATAATTGTCAAATATCATCGACGACCACATAAAACTAAAACTAATTTTTCTATCCCTCGGGAACAGTAGTTTTTTTGTGGATAAAGTGTACTCTATGTTTTTTCCTGTAACACTGACAATGTATGTACAAAATTTCATGATGATAAGTTAAGTAATTAAAACGTGAAATGACAACATACAAACAAACAAATTCACTTTTCCATTTAAAATATTAGCAAGGATTACTTAGTTATATCTAACTGCCAGGATGCACACAAGAATTCATAGATTAAGGCAGGTAATCTTTTGATTTATTTCTTTATAATAAGTTTACTTAATTTTGACTTTGATGTTGTTTTTTCTAATTATTATATCTTTATTTGTTTTTGCCTTTCCTTTAATGTTTGGAGATGTTTTTATCAATTTGTTGTGAAATTTCGGCGTAAAACTTTTTATCTTGAAAGACAGATTATCATTTCTTATTTTACTACTCGCAAAATGTAATTCTTACGGATATTATTTCACCACTGAATTACCCCATAATAGTTTGAAATTTTAAATGCTGTGCTAAAGTTTTGAGTAATTCTGCATGTCCTTTATCCCAAATAGAATTGTTAAATGTTGAAAAAAAGAATCAAAATTTTAATTTATACTTTACTTACCATATTGGGATAGATATGCAAATGGATTGACGTTTTGATCACCCGCGACTACATAAACGTTCAACAAACCAACGGATATAGAATGAAAAAAATTAGTAAAGCGTCAATGAGCGCAAGTATTCGCGGCACAGGTGCCTGGGGGACTAGTGTTGATTCACTCATCATAACCAGGTTTTATGCTTCTTTTGACCTTCGGTAGCTGGTGGTCGGTCGACCAAGGAGAACCTCGTATGTCATAGTCATCGTCCATCCGAAAGATACATAACTTGTCGACTTGTTTCGGACACTTTTTGTCAAAATCCATCACTGTACCTCGGCTTGTTTGTTGCTACATTAATGTAATTGCCCATCAGCTATTATTCTGACCACACTACCAGAAAAAGAATGACGACTTAAACAGTTCAAGAACGTAATTTCGCAAGCAGTTTTGTCTATCGTCATTCTTCTTTATTACAGAATACAGACCCATCGTATGCAAACGAGACTTTCTGATGCAATATCATTAATGAAGTCAATTTTTGACTTACGAAGATTTAACTGTAATAATTTGGTTAAAGAAGGAAAATAACTTTAATTCAAACTAGTTCTTCAGAGATTGTTACAGAAATGAATACAGGGGATGTCCATGAATCGGGAAATTCCTTGGCTAGTTTTTCCGCTAAAAGGCATCAATAACGACCAGTACTGAAAACATTTTCTTCAATCTAAAATATCACATTTGTTTTGATACCTATAATTTCGTTATTTCTCACTAAAACAATTCTTAATAATTAAATAATAAGAAAAGTATGCAGGAGTTGTAATATTGTGTTTAGCCAAACTGTTTTTACAGCTGTTAGTTTATTCTTTTCCAGTGTGTTTAATTAATAATATTATCGATTACACCTTACATAAAACTAACTCTTTTTCCATATATCTTGGAGATTCTATAGAAAGATAAGATATTGACACATTACGTACGAAATATGAACATAAACACATAAATCCATTTTAACGAAGCAATTGCAGTTATCAAGCGAACCGTGTACGCCTAAGTATTTGTTTAAATATAAGTGAACCACATTTAAAGATTGATTACAAAAATTTATATAGATACCTAAGTAGATATATCTACAGCTTTTAGCATATTTATTCATTCAAAAAAGGTTTTATTTTACCACTATCGAGCTCGTTCGTTTTGTATCTTTTGTGAATAAATTACATGAATGGCTATTGAAAAGTTAGAAAATAATTTTCAAAAAGCGGACCAATTTAAAGTAACACTCCAGGATGTCAAAGTAAGTTAGTATCTTTTTATACGTAACTTAGTTTAATTCATCTACATTCACCTACATATTAAAACAAAAATACATAACTGCAATTTGATATATGAAAATGCATCAATGTACTTCAACGAAATCAAAATTATAACTTAAATTATAGCCTTTATTTTAATATTAATTGATGACGCAGTAGGTGTATTTTGAAACATTTTAGAATAAATTAAAGAAAAGAAAATTGCTTTTTTATGTTTCAAACATAAAAAAGCAATTTTCTTTCCTTTATTTTAACTTGTCCTGGCGCCTCTACCAAAATTTTGATTGACATTTTTAAATGATTACTAACAATGCTTCTGTATCTCCATGAATGTTTTAATTATGACATTAAAACGTTAGTTAACAATACACATTAACTAAAAAATAGTAATTAATAACTAGATACTTCTTTAGATGGTCAGTTTGAAAATGTGTTGGTGTTCTCAGCCGAATTCTTCAAGAAGATGTCTTTGAAAGTATTACTAAATATTTAATTAATTATTTCTGCGTGCTATTTTGTGGTTTGTTCGTGGATAATAGTGAGTTTTACCTAAAAAAAGTTAGTTTAATGAGAAAAACATCTTCAAACCTTCTTTATAGTTGCATTAATATAATTGTAAAGTTTTCTGTATGTTGGGTAGTCTGTATATTATACGTATAACAAATCGTAGTTTACTTACAAAAAATATATAAATTAGCATCCCTTACTGCATCTACATGGACAAATATAACTTTTAGATGAAAATTCATTAATCTACTTCCAGGAAATCCGAGTTATAGCTTAATTACAGCCTTTGTTTTTAATTGACCCGGCGCATCCACTAAAAGTTTTAATACATTTGCACACCTTCATGAATGGATTATTTCTGATATTAAAACAATACTTTGCAAGATTAACCGACAAATTAATCAACAAATGTTGAATTTGATTCTTCTTGCGTTATTTTTAAAAAAACTGAATTAACACAATAACAGAAACTTTTGATGGATTACTTTAACTTTTCATTGGCTAATATTTTATAATAACCTACTAGAAGTTTACAACGATATTTTTGTGTTAAATTGGAAAAACATTTGCAATCAGTCTTAATTCGAAATTAATAACGTATTATTTATTACGGTAGAAAAATGGTGTGGAAGATACAAGGTCCAAAGAACTTCCCGAAATAATAGAAAGAGCTAGTTGGGGTAAACCATTAGAATTTATTATGTCCTGCTTGTGTTACGCCATAGGACTGGGAAATGTTTGGAGGTTTCCATATTTATGCTATAAAAATGGCGGAGGTACGAAATCCGCAAGAAAATATAATTCACACTGGAATTTATTTTTGAAATATTTCAGGGGCCTTCTTGGTGGCTTATTGTATTATGTTGATCGTAATGGGAATGCCGATATTTTTGCTAGAACTTTCTCTGGGACAATATACAGGGGTCGGTCCTGATCAAGTATTCAAAAGGATAGCGCCCTTATTTTCCGGACTGGGATATTGTTGTTTGGTCGTAATCTATTTAATTACCGTTTATTACATGGTCATTATTGGCTGGACGATATTCTACTTTATTGAATCGTTTAATGCCGAATTGGGATGGGGTTCGTGTCAGCACAGCTTCAATACTAAAGGTATTTGCTAATTATAACTACCCCTGAGTATTTTGCGTTAATTTTATGACGTGACAACGTCTTATAATTCGATGGAGCCGGCTGCTCGCACGAAAAAACATGACTCATTCGGCGTTACCTCGCCCTGAGGCGTTCCATTTAAGGCTTGAAGTAAAAGCGAGAGCGCGGAACGAGCGACAAAGAGGCACAATCGGCCTCCGCGTTCGGCAGCGTTCGACATCTGTCTCTCTCCTACTTGAGTGAGCGATGCGTCCGCGTGGACAGCTGCTATACAATAATACATTTCCATTTACCTCCTTCTCTGTATCCATACAAAATATCTATCAAACAAATAAAATTAAAATTTTCTTTTGAAAAATGAAACCATTCCATCAGTATTTTCTTATGACGTTGTCACGTTCAACTATCGTCAATAAACCGACTATACAGACAACCGATTTTTTTATTCTACAGTATGCTTCAGTGCCGTTGAAGAAGCAAAATGTAACAGCTCGGAGATCTTTTACAATTTTACGTGCTACCCGGTCTTAAATATTTGTCAAGAGGGTGGTTACAAAACCAGCATCAACAGAACTTGTTACAACGAAGATGGTTCTTCTATAAGGGTAACAGCTCTTGTTAATAGAACGTTATCTTCAGAGGAATATTACAATAACTACATTCTGGGATTAGAAGGAGCGTCATGGGACGATTTTGGTTATCTCCGTTGGCAAAATCTCATGTGTCTCGTTGCAGCATGGATAATTGGTTATCTTTGCGTGGCAAAGAGTATTAAGACTTCCGGTAAAGTCGTCTACTTTACCACCATTTTCCCCTACGTGATTCTAACGATTTTGGTGGTAAGGAATGTTACCCTAGATGGCGCAGTTGACGGAATAGTTCTTTATCTGACCCCCCAGTGGGAGAAGCTTTTAGAGGCTGACATGTGGGGAAATGCAGCGTCTCAAACCTTCTACTCATTTGGCATAGCCTGTGGGTCATTAATAACATTAGCTTCGTACAACAAATTCAATACCAATTGCTTGAAAGGCGCTGTGGTTGTAACTGCAGCAAACGCGTTTACATCTGTTTACGCAGGTTTAGCAATTTTTGCTGTGTTAGGATTTTTGGCCAAACAGCTGGACGTTCCGGTAGACGAGGTTGCATCCGATGGGCCTGGTTTGGCTTTCATTGCCTACCCGGAAGCTATTCTACTACTGCCTTTGTGTCAGTTATGGGCCGTGATATTCTTCTTGATGCTTTTTGTCCTCGGAATTGGATGCCAATTCGCTGGATTGGAAGCCGTCAACACCACGATAGTTGACAGATGGCCTAAACTAAGGAATTACCAAGCATACGTCATGTTAGGGATATGCTTCAGTTGTTTTCTTCTTGGAATACCGATGTGTTTCAATGGCGGGATTTATTTATTTACTTTGTTAGAATGGAACACTGCGTCATGGGCGATTTTGCCTATCGGCCTATTGGAGATTGTTTCTGTTTCATGGGTTTATGGGTGTAGGAGGTTTCTGGGACACATGACGTCTATGGGAATGGTCATGAAAGGTTTTACGTATTGGTTTTGGTGGACGTGTTGGGTGATTGTCGCTCCGGTTGCTTGTATTGTAAGTATACAGAACGATGGTGCATTGTGTATGTGTGCTGATGGGAGAATTTTTAAGGCGGTTTGCGTTTTTCAATTGGCCAATTATAAACCTGCGTCGTATGGATCTTACGTGTTTCCAGAATGGGCTGATGCCATAGGGTTGATGATTGGGATTATAACTTTGTTGCCATTACCGATTGTTGCAGTTGTTATGGCTATTCGAGAAAAATATGTAAGTTTCATATTTCAACCGCCTTCACGTTCTTGCGGCTTGGTCTAACTTGTATAATTTACTATATACTTTTTAGAAATTAAAAGAGTGGATAGTGCCTTTAAATACTTGGGGGCCGCAAAATAATAAAAGTATTAGTCAAGAAATATTAACGACTGATAATCAGAGGACTTGAATTGTGAAATAAATACTTACATCAAGAAAAAATACTATTGGAAAGTAGTTAAATGGCATCTAATTCTTTCGGATAAAAAAGGAAGGGTGAATTTGGTCTTTGAAACGAGACATTTGTTATGATAAACATGGAATCTGTTTCTTATTTGTTTAAAATGTACGTTTTTGTACAATAATATTGTAAATGTAACACATGAAAACTATTGTCTTAAATCCATCTTACTATTCTTTATTAAACTACAAAAAATACTCTCATTCTTTTACTTTGCCATTTCTCTTAACGTTTTTCTGAGAACTTTTCCATTTTGACTTTTGGGAAGCTCTTTAACGAATTTCACTCCTCCATGAAGTCTTTTTTGTATCGAAACTCTGTCTGAAAAAATGTTTACAACCAATTTTCGATTTAGAATATTATTTCACTCTAATTTTCTTACGCTTACCGGCTACAAAATCGCTAATATCTTTTTCTGTTACTGAACAATTTTCATCCTTTACCACAAACGCGGTTGGAAGTTCTCCTACTCTATCATCGGTTATTCCAACCACAGCCGCTTCTACCACCGACGGATGAGAATTTAAAATACTTTCTAATTCCGAGGGTGCGACCTTAAACAAAAAACTAGTTACCTTCTGTATAGTTTGATAACGGAGAAGTACTTGGAATCCTTTATATTTGATAAGTTCTTTCAGTCTATCAACAATATGAAGGGCACCGTGTTCATCGAAGTATCCAATATCCCCGGTTTTCCAAAACCCTTCATTGTCAAAACTGGCTTTTGTTTCTGCTTCGTTTTTAATATATCCTTTCATTATACCAGGCCCTTTAACGCGGATCTCTCCTGTCTCTCCCCTTTTGAGGGCTTCCCCCGTCTTTAAGTGGCACACTTTTGCTGAATAACCATGCACCAGAACACCGCAACCCCCTATATCGGATCTCGACAACAACTGCATGGTACAACCACCTGCTAGCTCTGTTGCTCCATATATTTGGCAGACTCTCTTAAGATTTTTCAGCCTAAAACATTTATTTAATTCTTTAAATCACATACATCCTAAACAACTCCCTCTCAGGTTCTTTTGGGATTTACTATGAGATACAAATTAATTAATATCACTAATTCTTGTTGACAATGTTAAATGGAACAAGATGTTAAATATACTTAAAAATATAGGGATGAGTTACAGATATAGAAGCTGGGGCTGCATCGTAGAGAACTAAATATTAGGGAGGGAGTCAGACAGGGATGCACACTATCACCGCTGCTTTTTAATTTATACATCGAAGACACGATCAACATCATCAAAAGCAGTACAACTGTGGAGGTAGATATAGAGGAGCAAAAGATTAGTATACTTAGATTTGCAAATGATATAGCAGTATTAGCATCCAGCAAGGAGGACTTAGAGATAACTTTAAATAAAATGGAAGCAATATTGACAAAACAGTATTGTATGAAAATAAATGTAAAACAAAAATACTGGTATGCAAGGGACTGACGACCTTATGATGACGATGATGATGAATTATTCTGTAATCAGAGAAGTTTTTCCTAATTTCCACGTAGTATCTACTTAGAACACTACCTTTTTTTTAAACCATCTTCGATTTCCTTGTCTAGTTTGTATCCACTTGAATAAATATAGTTTAAAGAGTCCAAATTATACTGTGGTACCAAATCACCTTTGGCTATAAATTGTAGAACAGTTGGTACCAAAGATAAGAATCTTATTTTGTATTTCTCAATAGTTTCCAAGAACAATTGAGGCTTGAATGCGTTTAGGACTACAGTTAAGCAATTTGAGTAAATGGCAAGGATTGTACCGAGTGTTCCTACTATGTGGTACATCGGTAACAAAATTAAGCTGGTCACATCGGACGAAATTTCTGCATAGACCGGATCACTATAGCAGAAGAAAAATGTTATTGTTAAGGACACCTAAAGGTGTATTATTATTTAATAATAATTTAATAGACTCTCCGCATTGAAGCATTTAGTTGACTTCTATCACTTACTACATGTATATAATAGAGCCCCTGATATTTTTATGAGTTATTTCCACCCCTTTAGGGAACCCAGTAGAGCCTGAAGAGCACAGAATTATTGCTGTATCGTTTTCCACGTCTATGTCGATTGGTTTGAAATTATTTACGTCAACCTTTGTTTGTTCCAAAACTTCCCCGATACTTGGAATTTGGTCATACGACGATTCAGTTAAGACAATAACTTTCTGTACTGATTCTACAGATTTTGATACTTGTTTGATCGACTTTAAGGCTTCCTTTGAACAGAAAATTAATTTTGGATCGGCCAGATTGAGAAGACGATGAAGTTCACCTTAAAATATATTTCGTTTCATAATTTAATTGAAATTGTAAATGAGAAATCATACCAATTGTATAAACAGGATTGATCACATTTACGACAATTCCAGTAGCGAAACCGGCCAAAAATATAACTGGATACCACAGATTGTTATCAGATACAATTGTCATCACGTCTCCTTTCTTTAAATTCATACCACTTTCCAAAAATTTACACAATTTGATCGATTTTTCCATTAGATCTCCGTTGGTCATGCATTCGCCAGTAAGTCCATTTATCTACAATGAATTTACAACATTTATTCTATAATTTGAATTCGATTCGCAGAACTAAGGGCAACAACAAGTACAAAGTACCTAATCTTGATATAAAGTTACATAAAATAACGTTCTTCACTTCATCTAATATTTCGTTAGTTACTTACAAATATCGCTTTATCCTTGTTTGAAGATTTTATAACGTCAAGTAAAAGTTTTCCCAGTGACTCTGTAGGGATGGTGGAGTTATCTTTTGGTCCACGTATGATAAGATCTGAGTCGGTATCCATTTTGTACACTTTGTATTACACGTAATGAAAGACTAAGTAACTTACAGTTAGTGCATGAGAATTTGCTATCAAAAAGCCGTGACTTGCGGCTGATTTAAATGCAACATAGAAACAAATCAAACAAATTTAAAACGACTTGTTGAAAACGTTTCCTTGTTTATGTAAATTTTGTTTATCGAAAAGTGCATTTAGTTTAATAGCTCACTGCATTAAAACAATAAAATTCTACAGAATTGACTGATAAAACATTAGGCTTTGTACTGTAATTATATACAAAGACTTCCGAATAAATAAAGTGTTGTTTTACTGATTCTTAACAAAAGTAATGACTGCTACTAATTAAAAATAGAATTTAACAGAATTCCAGATAGATTAAAAGTTGTTTTTAAAAAAGTTTATTGGATAACAAATAATTTATTGATCCTTTAAACTCCTCAAAATCTGTCATAGAGGCTCCATCCTTTGAAATTTGGTAGCTTGCAGAATTATCCTTGGCTAGGAAGAGAACGAATCGGCAGATCAATAAAAACTTTTTACCTCCAACGTGTAGGTGCCGCTTTAAAACATTTCAGGCTTTGAAACATATTTAGGTACTTAAATACTAATTTTGTATAGTTTTTTTATTTCACAAATGCCTTTTTGAACCCTCCCTAACTATATTGTCGACTACCATTTAGAAAATCAAATCAAAATCTAGCGAATATCCTTTAATTAACTGTGGTGTATACATATTATCGATCATAATTGTTGTGCTGCATTCAGAACGTATCTTTGAAAGTTTATTCCATTCTGTCTGTCTGTATTAAGAACACGATATTAAACTTGCTTCATTCAGTATATTCGGAAGTTAAAGTTTGGCGTGGCTTATTCTGCAGCATCTTAATTATATTAGCATTTCGCATTGTTCGCAGTTAATGACTTCCTTGCTTTATTACGTACTCCTTCGAAATAGCATCTTAGATGTAAACTTCTGCTGTATCTTCCGATATATTTATTGTTATTATTCAACTTTCGATAGTTTCAAAAGTTTCGCAATGTCTACACAAACCGCCGATAATACGAAACTTTGTAATTTAAACTGCACTCTCTAAATAGAATAAGATTTTATGCGAATTACATTGAGGCCATTCAAATATAAATGTCGTTGAATCGTTAAGTGTTTTGTAAATTACGTGAATATGTTGATGTAGACCTTAAATGAAAATTGTACTTTGAGTTAGTGTAATTTTTGTGATAATAGCGCTTAGGCAACAATACGTGACAATTTCGACAGTGTAATATTTAAATTAAGGTGCTTAAATAACACCTTTTTTGTTACCTTCCCGATAAGTATATGTTGATTGGAATCATTAGTGACGTTGGTAATTCGTCAAAGGTAATTCCAAAGAATCGAGAAATAAAAGAAAATTTTTACGTGGATGAAACCGAGACATTTCGGATATTGGGATCCGTCAAATGGGCATACACCATCTGATGGCAAAATTTATAACTCGAATGAGGGAAAAATTTACATAGGAACTGTGCACGCAAATTGTAAAATTGTTTATTAAAATAATAAAACACCTTAAAAAAGTAAAAAAGAATTGATGATGGAGTCGACGAAGTCTTCCTCTAAAGTTAAATCAAATAAAAAGTTAATATGTTCAGTGAAAAGCTGCAATAGCACTTCAGACATAGATCTTAACTCTTCACCTACATTAACTACTTTCCAATAAAAACTAACCGTTTTATATATGTAAAAAATATATTCGGAAAATTAGAGAAAAAAGTAAACTAATAGAAGCTTGGATGAAAGCAGTAGGTATCAAAGAAGTGAATTCCGGAATAAAAATTTGTTCACGTCATTTTAATGCACATGATTATATTTCAGCAAGTATTTACCATCAGCCATAACCTTAATATTTAAAACTAGAATCATACTAAAATTATAAAGTGAGAAATTATTTATTCCTGTGTAATTGATTTAACACAATTCTAATGATACGATATAAGTATTTTGAGGTTAAGAACCTACCTGCTGCAATACAACAAAGTTGCAATAATGTGTTTGCAACGTTCTCTTAAATCGGCTTTGCACGTGCAAGTCATTGATATGATATTGCTTAAATCACCCAGAATCACCTCACCAATTATATAACGTGAATCACTTTTTAAATCCGAAGTTTGTAAAAAGTAGGCAGTAAACTTGACGGAATTTGAAGGCTAGCTTCCGGATTTGTTATTTCCGAATTTTATAATGTGATTGGCATTAAAAACACGCTCACCTTCAACGAAATTTCCTTTCCGAGGCTTTGTGTCAGCCCAATCACATATTGTGTCAATACTTATCATTTTATAGTAATCTAAAAACTTGGAAATTGCACGGTACACTACAGGAACTACGATAAATTTTCCCTAATCGGCGCCATGTTTTTAGGCTCCTCCCATTTGACGAATCCTAATAGTTGGGACATTAAAAATTGGCATAGTCTTAATTTAACTTAACTTATTAATAGGCTAGAGCGGTTGCTGACAGAACGCAATAGGGAATATCGTAAACATAGAAAAGAGATGTCAAGTAGGAATTGCAGCGAACACTAATAAAGAAAATGAATAACATTACACCAATTAATGTGTAACAGAGAGAGGTGCAGACAAGCAGAATTTGAGCATTAGATTTCTCTTTAGTGAGCTACAGATATATATGGCATTCGAGGTAATTTTTACACCAAGCTTGCTTTAACTGTTACGATCATGTAATTGGAAAAATGGGCCACTTTTCATCACATATGGTTCTGGTTCCTATGTATAAAATCTCTTCCGCGTATGTTTTTCTGCAAGCGCTTTCTAATGCCAGAACAATTCCTGCGGGAGTAAAAGATGTTTCACTGGATGCATCTCGTTAAGAATGAAAAAGGCCTGAAGGCTGTGTGCATTCGATACAGTGAATCTGCATTTCCGTTTTCCACTTGCTTTGCTTTGTTAATACTTTATAACAACAGCCTTAGCGGTGGAAACGTTAAGTGATAAGTGCTGCCAACGTTACCCATCCACGGTTTGGCTTTTGTCCAATTCCTGCACCACCGGATACTGCAACTAAAGTCTCGTGCAAGCCTCTCCTCGCTTTTCACTCCACTATGTGTGCCACATATTCGAAAAATAGCTTCCATAAATAATAACATGCACTACGTCAACCATCATAAACCACTCAAACATAATATACCGATGAGGATTGTACTACTACTTCTAATCATTATACACAATCATTCCTTAGTTTTATTTCTTATCTTGATTCCTGATCTTTGTTCTTCTAAAGCTATATTTTGCAGAGATCTGATCCTAAACCCAAAACCGTGATCAAAATCAAAATCAAAATCATTCTTTACTTTTATTTCTTATCTTGATTCCTGATCTTTGTTCTTCTAAAGTTTTATTTTGTAGAGATCTGATCCTAAACCCAAAAACTCAAAACTATAAAATCATTAAGCATTAAGTTCAAGATCAAGGCTGTTAAAATTTTTGATTTTGTAGAATTGTTGCTACTTAATGTAGAACAGTTCTACTAGTGCTTCTACGAATGAGAGAAAGGGTTGAAGCATGAAGGATGTGATTAAGACCAAGGCCTTTTCATTAATCGACTGGAGAACACTAAATAAAGCTGCTTCTAAATCCATAGTTTACTACGAAAGTCGAATCCTAAGTGTAAGACCACAATCAATATTAAATTTGAAGCCTTTGGCTTATGACCAATGTCCAATTCGGTTTCCCTTAAAATGCTGATCATATTTTTGATCTAGTGATGAATGTAATAATGCTATGGCAGTTATACGAGGGTGGATTGATAAGTTTCCGGCCTAACCAAGAGATGACGCCACTAGGCCTACCTTGAGGTGACATTCTATAGTACCATCCTTGGATAGCTTGTAGCTATAGTTTCAGCCCGATCTCCTTGCTAGTGTAGGTTTGACAGCACGCTGAACAAGACGCCTCTGTGGTTTTCGTAAAAATGGAAAAGCAGGAAAATCGTGCTGTCATCAAATACTTTTATTTGAAGGGGTTAACGCCGAAGGAAATTAAAAAAGAGATGGACTCAACACTGGGGACATCCTCCCCGTCATATTCAACCGTTAAGCAGTGGGTTTCCGAGTTTAAAAAGGGTCGTGTGAGCACCTCTGATGGGCCTCGCTCAGGACGCCCCGTTGAGGTCACAACTCCAGATATGATCGAAAAAATTCATCAAATAGTGCTGGGAGACCGCAGATTGAAAGTGCGTGAGATAGCTGAGACCTGTAAGATGTCATATGAACGTGTGCAACATATTTTGCACCAACATTTGCATATGGAAAAGCTCTGTGCAAGATGGGTGCCGCGTTTGCTAACAGTCGACCAAAAATTGATTCGAAAAAACATTTCTACCGCAAATTTGTCATTGTATAAGCGTAATCCAAGCGAATTTTTGCGTCGATTCGTAACCGTTGACGAAACGTGGGTCCACCACTACACTCCTGAAACCAAAGAACAGTCTAAACAGTGGATTGGACCAGGGGAACCAACTCCAAAGAAGGCAAAAACAATTTTTTCGGCGAACAAGGTTATGGCTACTGTTTTTTGGGATGCAAGAGGTATTATATACATTGATTACCTTGCAAAGGGTAATACTATCACTGGTCAATACTACGCAGACTTATTGCAACGTTTGAGCCACGAGGTGAAAATTAAACGACCTCATCTGGCGAAGAAAAAAATCTTGTTTCATCACGATAACGCACCAGCGCACACGTCAATCGTTGCGACGGCTAAAATCAACGATCTAAAGTTTGAATTGATGCCGCACCCTCCTTACTCTCCAGACCTAGCCCCGAGTGACTATTTTCTGTTCCCTAATCTCAAAAAATGGCTTGGCGGTAAGAGATTTGCGGACAATGAAGAAGTAATCGAAGCTGTAAATGGTTATTTTGAGGAGCTTGACGAATCAGTCTATAGAGATGGCATTAATAGACTGGAACACCGCTATGAGAAATGTATCAGCCTTGGAGGAGATTATGTTGAGAAATAAAAAAAAAAAATTTTTAAAAACCTTGTTTTTCTTGGTCAGGCCGGAAAC